TCCTTTCTTGATCTCAGTCTAGGATTCTAGCTTCCCCAGTTGCATTAATTCCATTCACTACTAAGAGAGAGACTGAGGTGCTATGGAACAAAGTATTGGAGTCAGAAGTCCTGGGTTTGAATTCTGACTTTTGTGTCACTTTACATTTACTACCTGTGTGACCTTGAACAAATAACTTTATATCTTGAGACCTCAGGGTCCTTCTGTATTAAATGGCACTAGATAGTCTTTGAGGTCCCTTTTCGCTCTATAGCCAAGGTCCTATCCAGATGCTGCCATGATCCCTCTATTCTTGTCGTTTTTGTTCAGTCATTCAGTCATGTATGACTCTTCATGATCGCATGGACCCCAGCACACCAGGCCCTTCTATCTTCCCCTATCTCTCAAAGTCTGCCCAAGTTCATGTTCTTTGTTTCCATGACACTATCTATCCATCTCATCTTCTGCCATCCCCTTCTCCTTTTGCCTTCAATCTTTCCCAACATTAATGTCTTTTCCAATGAGTCCCCATCTTCTCATTATGTGACCAGAGTATTTAAACTTCAGCATCAGTATTTCACCTTACAGTTGAATGTTGTCCAGTCATTTTTTAGTTACATCTGACTCTTCGTGCCCCTGTTTGGAGTTTTCTTGGCAAAGACACTGGAGTGGTTTGCCATTTCTGAATTAGTTTCCTTTTTTTTTAAGGCAATTGGGGTTAAGTGACTTGCCCAGAGTCACACAGCTAGTAAGTGTCAAGTGTTTGGTCTGAGGCTGGATTTGAGCTCAGGTCCCCCTGACTTCAGGGCTGGTGCCCTATCCACTGTGCCACCTAGCTGCCCCCGTGAATTAGTTTCTTTAAGTATTGATATGATATGATCCTTCACCCAAGGAATAAATCCACCAAAAGATTCTGGCCCCATTCTTAGATTCAGAGTGCCAGAGTTAAAAGGAACAGTGGGGATAAGCTAACATGGTCCTCTACCTAAGTATGGATTAATAATTATAAAATATCATCTCCCATAGTTTCCTTGTTCTACAGTGGCTAGCCAGCCAGTCAGTCAACAATCATTTATCAAGCTCTCCCTCTGTGCCAGATGGCTATAAAAGCTAATTATAGCTCAAGCCCTCTCCTGGTTAAAAAAAAACCAACATCCATAAAGGTGGTCCTTGGCACCCTAAAATCTCCCCATTCAGCTGCTTTCCAGCTGTCCTCCCAATGCCCCATGCTGCTGTCCATCTCCTCAAAAAAGTTCCCCAGGCTTCCAAATTACCTCCTTTCTTGTGGGTGACTTTTCAAAGATCCCCCCCCCATCCCCACCTTGGATATTCCTTCTCATCATCAACCCATTGTACTTCCTAAGTTCTAATTGCCTGGCAAGTCAAGTCATTTTATTAAGTATATACTATTTGACCGGAGCCAGCAAGGTAGCTCATTGGATAGAGCACCAGGCCTGGAGTCAGGAAGACTTCAGTTCAAAACCAGCCTCAGATACTCACTGTGTGACCTTGAGGAAGACATTTAACTTCTGTTTGCCTCAGTTTCCTCATCTGTAAAACGAGCTAGAAAAGGAAATGGCAAACCATTGCAGTATATTTGCCGAGAAAACCCCGTGGACCATATTGATGTGCTGTGGCCCACAAGATCATGAATAGTTGGATACAACTGAACCATGAGAACATGATTTGGTAAGCAAATGAGACTATCTCTTAGGGATTCAAAGAAAGGCAAAAGCAGTCCATGCCTTGCCCTCAAGGAGCTCACAGATGACACATACTCATCAAAATTTGTCCATATGTGATGTACACAGAAGAAATTGAGATTCTGAAAGAAAGTACTTTCATTGAGAGGGACCAGGATGGGCTACTTGAATACAAAGATTAACGTATTAACCCACAAGATGTATTTGGTAAGATGGTATTTATGAGCATGTGGCAGTGATTTAGTGGATATTGTTATCTATTTATGTAATAATAATGATAATAATAATAATAATAGCTAGTATTTATCTAATACTTAAGGTTCGCAAAGCTCTTTACATGTGTTATCTCATTTTATCCTCACCACCAGCCTGGGAAGTAAGTGATCCTATTATTATCCCCACTTACAGATGAGGAAACTGAGACTGAAAAAGACCAAGTGACTTGCCTTGGATCACACACCTGAACTCAGGTCTTCCCAACTCTCAGGCCTGCCCTCTCCATCGTACCCCATAACTGCCGCTCACGGCTGCTGCTTTTATCTGATTTCTGCACATGTTGTCTTTCTGTGCCATTTATTTTTATACCGGCCTTACATTTTATTTGCTATGCGTTCATTCTAGGCAACGATTACTCACTGTTGGCATTATTTGTTGGCTGAATACAAATTTATTTTACAGTTACTTGAAAAAAATGAATACTTTGTGTTAAAATTTATTTTACATGTTAAAAGGATATTTGGCATGGCAGTTCTTGAAAGGAAAAAGAATAAATTTCTAAAAGCAATGGTTCACATTTATATAACACATGAAGTCATTTAACCCTTCTAAGCCTTGGTTTCCTCATTTGTAAAAGACAGATAATTCCTGTATCACCATCTTCATCATTGTCATCATCATCATCATCATCATACAGACCTGTGATTTTTTTGTTGAGGAAAGTCCCATAGAGATAAAATCCTTATTCTAATGTTGACCAGCACCTGGTCTGTAATCTCTAGGTTTAGAGAATTGCCTGGGACCCTGAGACTTGTCAGAATCACAATGTCACACCGTCAGTATCCCTCTGAGGCAGGGTTCACCCAGGTCTTCTTAATTTCAAGGCTGACTACCCATTAGGCCATGCCTCTTAGCAGCAGCAGCAACATGGCAAAATAATATAGCTAGGTAATAATAATAATAATAATAATAGTTAGCGTTAATATAGTGCTTTAAGGTTTGCAAAGTACTTTACAAATGTTATCTCATTTGATCTTCACAACAACCCTGAGAGGTTTTTTACAGATGAGGAAACTGAGGCAAATAGCAGCAAAGTGACTTGCCCAGAGTCACATATGGAATAAGTGTCTGAGGCTGGATTTGAACCCAGGTCTTCTTGGCCCTAGGGCCAGAACTCTATCCACTATACCACCTGGCCTGGCCTAATGGGTAGAATGTTAGACTCTGAGTCAGAAAGAGCTTCTGACACTTATTAGTTATGCGCCCACAGGCAAGTTCCTTAACATTTATTCATTCAGGTTCACGACTCAAATTTCACTCGTCTGCTCAAGAAGCTTCCCTCTCCCCACCCCCCTCACTGTCTGCCATATTCAATCAGTTTCCAAGTCTTGTTGATTGTACCTCCATAACATCTTGGGCATCTGTCCCTTTCTTTCTTCTCACATGGCCACCACCAAAATCCACACTCATCATCTCTCACCTTCACTACCAGTCTCTCCTCACTCCAGTCCATTCTTCACATAGAAACAAAAGTCATCTTCTTTATCCAAAGGGTTGACCAAGTTACTCCTCTCTTCAAAAAGCCTTAGTGGCTCCCTGCTACCTCTAAGAGCAAACATGCCATTTAAAGGTCTCTAAACCTACTTCTCACTTACCTTCTTAGACTTATTTAATTGTAACTTAGTACAGGGCACTTAGGTGGTGCAATGGATAGAGTACCAGGCCCGGAGTCAGGAAGACTCATCTTCAAATACGGCCTCAAACACTTACTAGCTGTGTGACCCTGGGCAGGTCACGTAACTGTTTGCCTCAGTTTCCTCATCTGTAAAATGAGTTGGAGAAGGAATTGGCAAGCCACTCCGGTATATTTGCTAATAAAACCCCAAATGAGATCATCAAGAATCAGATATGACTGAATAACAACAACGTAGCATAGTAGAGCGCTGAACTTGGGATTAGGAAGATCCAAGTTTGAATCTAAAGGTTATATGGTTATATTAACCTGTTTGCCTCGATTTCTTTATATATAAAATGGGGAGATTAATAGCGTTTATGTCACAAGGTTGTTTTGAAGATCAAGTTACATATATGTATATATGTACCTATATACACACATATGTATGCATATAAAATATGTATACATATAATGTGTATATATGTGTGTATTTACACATATATGTATCTATACATGTGTGTATAGATACATATGTTTTGCAAACTATAAAAAGCTACATGAATTTTAATCATTGTTATTATCACTCTACATTCAGCCAAACTGATCTACAAGTTATTTTCTGAATTCAATATTTCACCTCAAATTTCTACATCATTGCACAAGTTGTCTTCCATGCCAGAAACAGAATCCCTCCTCACCTTAAGGCTGTTATATGCCACCTCCTACAGGAAGTCTTCTCTGACTCCCCCAAGACCTTTTATTGACTTCCCTGTGTACATGCCACATCCCCCCCCATACACATCCCTCAACCACAGCCCTGGTAGAATGTAAATCCTTGAGGACAGGGCCTCTCTCATTTTTGTCTTTGTATTGACAGCACTGAACATAGGGCCTTGGTGCCAAAGAATGGCTGGTTGTGTGTCAATGGAGATATTATTAACGCCTACCTCGCTGAGGTTGTTGTGAGGTTCAGATGAGATCATATTTGTAAAAGTGCTTTGTACACACATAAATGCTAGTTGTCATTATTACCGTTGTTATTCTTATTCTTATTATCATTAGCCATCTAGCCTCTGCTCATGGAGCCAAAGTATGCCTTGGAACAAACCTCAAGGTTGCCCCATTATGTGACGTTACATCATTAGTCATTTCTGAAAATGATGCTACTGGCCAGAACCGTCTTTAAATCTGACTGTGACTAAAAGAGTGATCTTTGACCGACAGTCCTTCCCATTCTACATACCCGTAAAGATTAGGTGCACAGATGACCGAGCCTCCTACTTGTCATGACCCCTCTGTTCTGGAGGTCTTCCATTGCTCATTGCCACCTGCCTGTCTAAACAACAAAGCTTCATTGTGTCAAGAGAGATACCAGGCAGGGCTTTGATGGTTCCATCACATTAGGCTGTTCACCAAAGGGTTCTTACCTCCAAAGGTACCACTTGCATCAGAATAGCAAAGTTGGTGAGGTGATTACAACGACAGATGGAGTAGTTGAGGTTCCCTTCTGTGAGGACACAGCCTTGGTTAGACCAGATGCCTTCTCCGGAGCTAAAGATCAAAGCAAAGCGGCAACATAACTTGGTTGGCATTTCCTAGAAGATTTATAATCAACTAAATAATCATACCTAGAAGCCAGATTATTTTAGAGAGATTAAGTAATGATACAGCAATATCCCCCTTGGGGACAATCATGAGGAAAAGGGCCCTATTGGTGACAAAATACTTATAGCATCACTCTTTGTGGCAACTAAAAGAGAAAAAAATGGAAACAAACTGGGAAATGACTGGGAAAAAAAGTGGTTTATAAATGTGAAGGAATATCATTGCACCATAACAAATGAGAGCCAGAATGTCAGAGCAATCATAGATAAAGAGCTGACCCTAGCACAAAGGAGACTTGAGTTCAAGTCTCACCCCTGACATATGCTGACTACATGACCCTAGATAAGTCATTTAACCATTCTGTGTTTCAGGCAATATCCTAAAACTGTTAAGTTACAGAATTAGTGACCATCTGCATTGGTAAAGGAAGCTTCCTCGCCATGAGTTCCCTATACCAAAGAAACCAGAGTTGTGAGAAAAGAAGGAAGGAAGGAAGGAAGGAAAGTATTAATGACTTGGGTTATTAGGGCTGTCTTCATTATCACCCCTGAAATTACTGTATATGTATTGTGAATTTCTTTATCTACACAGATGTTGCATCCCCCAGTAGAATATACCCTCCTTTAGGGCAGGGACTGCCTTCTTTTTTCTTTTTATTGCCAAGCACAAGCAACATCTAACATATGGATGGAAATTACATTGGTATAGAGAACACCCAATTAGGACACTTCCTCTACCTATGCAGATATGCACCAGCTCAGCAATTTATAGTCTTAAAGAGCTGCCTTGGGCACTGGGAGGATAAATGGTTTGTCCAGCATCACACAGTGTCTTTCAACTAAGGGGCACTTAAATGCTTATTGAAAATTCAATTGAGTAAATGTGGGGAATGTGAGAAGTGAGGCAGAGCCACGAAAGCCAAACCAAGAGCGTGTGCATACACACACACACACACACACACACACACACACACACATGCAGTGACAATTATGGAAACAATAACAACACTAAAAGATTGTCAAATGCCAATAAATTGCCATGAGCAATCTGGGTATCAGATTCCTGATCAAAGAAATCATCTTTCTTCTCTCAGTCTAGAGATGGGGCTTGCAGACATAGAGTGTTGCATACACTATTGGACCCAGTCTATACTTCAATAGGTTCCGCTTAAATATTATTTTCTTTCTGGATTACAAAGGAAGTTTCAATAGGGAAAGGCATCATTGAGAGGAAATGACTATAGTGTGAGGAAGGGAGAAGAGAAACTAAAGCTTCTGAAAATAAATTAATGTTTTTTTTGAACAAACAAATTAGCTAAGAAAAAGGCTCTCTATGATCCCAAGGCATGGGGGAGGAGGGAGGGCGCACCTTGGAGAAATCATTTTTGCTAACTGAAATAAACTAATTGGCTTTGGTTGTTCTTGCTGAACATTCAATTTGAATTGTAATGTCAGCTATAAATTTAACCAGCTAGAAATCTGGTAATTCTGATGACTAACTGATAAAAATATGATCCCACACCATTTTCATTAGGGTACAATGAATGGGGCCCATTCTAGCCAGTCTTAAGATAAGATGTCCCTGAGAAAACATAACAAGAGGGCAAGCAGGTGACGGGGACTATTGTACCGCTGGGTGAGGCTCAATAGGCCTCTGAGATCTGTGTGATGAAGTTAGAAAGGAATAATTTAGAAGCTGTCCAATGATGGGTTAGCCTAATGACTTTGAAACCCAATTACAGCAGTTTCAAAGAACAGGTTTTCATGATGAATGGTCTGATTTTGGCAGACAGACCGGGATCGGTTCAGCATATTATCACAGAGCCAGAGGAGAGCAAATCAGTCTGAGGCTGACTTCAATAATGACACCAGAAGAAGAGAACTGTCTCCCACCAAGATGACTCCACTCTATAGCACCCAACCCAATGTAAAGCAAACAACTATTGACTCATGTTGAAGACCACTGTAAAATAAACGGCTTGTGTCTGTTGAGTATAGCAATTTTGTGAATCAACAAATTGTCAATAATTTTAGTAATTCCTAGATCAATAATCTCTTTGATGTATTTTTTCATAAATCATTTTACATATGACACCTAGAAATTTAAGATAATTAAATTTAAATGAGACAAATTCCAATGGTTCCCTATCGTGAGTTTTTATTGTTGTTCAGTCATGTCTGACTCTTCATGTCCCTATTTAGGGTTTTCTTGGCAAAGATACTGGAGTAGTCTGTCATTTCCTTCTCCAGTTTATTTTACAGAGGAGGAAACTGAGGCAAACAGGGTTAAGTGACGTGCACAAGTCCACCCAGCTAATATGGATCCAAGGTCAAATATGAAAGCCTCTCTTGGCATTCAAAGCCTTTCATAATTGAGCCCCTCTCCAGGCAAGACTGGACCTGGATTCTAGGCTATGTAAACCTAGGCAAGCCTCTTAACCTCCCAGGAACACCAGATAATTCTCCAAAACTTCATAAATTGGAGAACAAGTATCCATCTTCATTAATAGAAGAAGTTTCTTTCCTGAGAGTTCCACATGCCAATGAAATGACAGGTCTAGAGCATAGAAAAAATAGATGTCATAAAGGAAAATGCTCTGGCCTTGCAATCAAAAAGCCTGGGTTCAAATCCTAGTTTTGCCACTGACTAGCTCAGTGACCTGGGGCTAATCATTTAACTCTCTGGATCATCAGTTTCCTCCTCTTTAAAATAAGGGGGTTGGTCAAACCAGATATCTAAAACCAATTCCAGCTCTAAATCTTATGATACCTTTTACAAGATAGAAAATACGACAAATTAATTTTTTCTGCGTATGTAATAGATGATCAGAAAATTCACTATTTTCAAATATGGTTCATAATACCATCCACCCCTACAGTTGTGAATTGTGTTTTCTATCAACCCAAGAAGATTAGGACCCCCAAATTCTAGCCAAAATAGAATCACTAACATGATTCAAGTGGCACCTTCTACAAGAGGCCTTCCCTGGTCCTTCCCTTCAGCTGTTAGTGCCCTTCCATCCACACCAGCAATTACTCTTTTTTATTTATTTTATTTATTTATTTTATTTATTTTTTATATAGAGGGTGTCCCAAAAGTCTTAGTGCAGTTCTAAGCTATTATTGTTTAAAATTGCACTAAGGTTTCTGAGGCATCCTCCATTTTGTATTTATTATTCTGTTTTTCTAATGTTATTTCCCTTCATTTAATGTAACCCCCTCAAAGACAGGGACAGTTTTGTTTTGTCCCTGTTTGCCCAGTGTGTGGCACACAGTAGGTCTTTAATAAATCCTTGCAGAGCAACTGAACTGGACCAAGGTCCTGTTGAATGGAAACCCATGTTGGAGGAATCCTTCGCAAAGATTGCCTTCATCGGGAATTGTCCACATAGCCTACATCGGCCTACAATTCACTAGTTCCAGGAAGAAATACTCTCAGACTATTAAAGTATGCAAATAATCAAAGGAGCCCCCCCAGCTACCAGCAACTGGCATTTCATCATGTGATTGCCACCAAAGGGAAATGCAGTCATTATGCTCATCCCACAGATGGGCAGCATATGTTTCAGTGGCAATTGTTGTGCAGAAAGGAGGCTCAGTTTGACTCTTGGTCAGTGAAAATAAGATACTATGGATCACAGAATCATAGACTTAGGGCTGAAAGGGATCTTAGAGATGATGGAGTCCAAGCCCCTCATTTTACAGACAAGGAAACTGAGTCCTAAAGAAAAGTAACTCGCTCAAGGTCATACAAGTTGTAAGTTGTATGAGGTAGAGGAGGGCTTTGAAAAAAGGTCCTCTTATTCCAGATCAAATGCTTTCCACTATATCACATCGCCCCCTGAACTCAAGTAAATGATTATTAAGCAATTACTATGTGCACAATTATTATGTGTACAACTTAAGCAATTATTATGCAATTATATACATGATATATTAAGCAATTATTGTGTGCATAATTGTTATTGTTAATAACAATTATTAAGTACCTATCGTGTGCACGATGGTGTTCTAGGTGTTGGAGATGTTCATTTGTTTCATTCACGTTGGACTCTTCATGACCACGTTTGGGGTTTTCTTGGCAAAGATTTTGGAGAGGTTTGCCATTTCCTTCTCCAGCTCATTTTACAGATGAAGAAACTGAAGCCAACAGGGTTAAGTGGCTTGCCCAGGGTCGCACAGCTAATGATGTCTAAGGCAAGATTTGAAGTCAGGTCTTCCTGACTCCAGGACCTGCACTCTATCCACTGTGCCACCTAGCTGCTGGCTCAGTGTTGGAGACACAAAGACAAAAATCAAAAGTCTCTGCCCTCAGGGAGCTTACAATCATTAAGGCCCATAGAGAATGGGGAGATAAGAAGATAGAATGCCCTTCCAAGATCCAGGAGGCTTTTCATAGGCACCCTGTGGGATAATGTGTACTTTACCTAAAGCAAGAAGTAGAGACCAGGGAGGATTACAGGAGGCATAGCTGATACAGTGTTGGACTTCAAGTCTAGAAGTTCTGAATTCAAATCTCATCTCAGAAACTAGCTGTGTGACCCTGGGCAAGACACTTAACCATTTTTTGCCTCAGTTTCCTCATCTGTAAGGAGGGCTGAAGAAGGAAATGGCAAAGCACTCTAGCATCTGCTGAGAGAAACCCAGATGGGTTTATGAGGAATCAGACACGACTAATTGATTAAACAACAAATTATAACAGCGAGTAATAATATTATATTATAAGATAATATAATATGCAATAATATAATATTGTGGCACATAGTAGGCGCTTAATAAGTGATTATTTGTTAGTTTAATGATGTGAGTCACACAAATTTCTGGCTGGTGGTTTGGCATCTTGGAATTTGCCTGATCTATGTTGTGGAAAGGAAGGAGGAAAGCCTTCTCCAGGGGTGGGGAACCTGCCACCTCGAGGCCACATGTGGCCCTCCTCAAGTGCAGCCCTTTGACTGAATCCGAACTTCGCAGAACAAATCCCCTTAATAAAAGGATTTGTTCTGTAAAACTTGGACTCAGTCAAAAGGCCATACTCAAGGACCTAGAAGGCCACATGTAGCTTCAACCAAATAAATAGTTATCTAGGAAAGAGAAACAACTGGGAAGTCAGTCAATAAAACATTTATTAAGTGCCTACTATGTGCTAAGAAGCTTTGGGAATACAAAGAAAAGCAAAAGACAAGCTCAGCCCTAGAGGAACTCCCAATCTAATAAGGTTAGATAAGGCGAGTTTGGGGTAATGCCCTTGGAGAGACTTTAAAGTTAGGCCTGAGAAAAACTTAGACTTGATGCTGTGGGCATTGGGGAACCATACTGGGCTCTTCAAAAGGAAAGAAACAGAATACAAATTGTATTTTATGAAGCGCAGAGTAGAGAGAACGTGCAGGAAGAGGGCAGAAGGACTTAGGGAGGGAGGTTAACTCCAGCCAAGGAGGCCAGTGACGATGCTAATACAATGAGCTATAAGGTGATGAATGACCTACAATAGGTGATGTGGGAGGGCCTGGAGGATTTTCTGAGGATGGATAGGAAGGAATCGATGCGAAAGACATTATGAAGACAGACTAACTTGATGAGAAGGCGAAGGAGACAAAGGAGGTTATAAACACTTGACATGCCCTGGTCTTTTCTATCTTTACAAAAAATCTTTTCCCAGCAGCGTCTTGTAGCAATTTCTCTTGTCCTATTTCTCAAGATTCTCAGAATCTCTAAGGTGGAGGGGACTTCAGAGGTCATCGAAGTAATTCAAGAACTTGAAGGACTCACTTCAAGGATGGGGCTCAATGAGAAAATGATTGACTTGTTGACTGATAGCTGTTGGTGACAAAGGATACACCTCCTCATCTCCGCCTCTTAGAATCCCTGGCTTCTTTCTACACTCATCCACCTTGTGCTGGTCCCTGTACCTGCAGCTGCTGGTGTCCTGTCATCCCCTCTGAGATTTGTTGTTGTAGTTGTGGTTGTGACTGTTGTTGTCCTTAAGTCATGTCCTACTGACCCCATTTGGGGTTTTCTTGGTGGAGATACTGGAGCGGTTTGCCATTCCATTCTCCAGCTCCTTTTACAGATGTGGAAACTGAGGCAAACAGGGTTAAGTGACTTGCCCACTTCTGCAGAAACTCCTATCCTAGGATGCATATTACAATCAGTCAATAAGCATTTATTAAGCACCTTCTATGTACTTAGGCACTGTGCTAAGTCCTGGGGATGTAAAGAAAAGCAAAAAATAGCCCTTGCCCTCTAAAAGCTTATAATCTAATGGGGAGGTGGGTAAACCACATGCAAACTACTCTGCAAAAACAAGATTTAGACAGGAAAAATTGGTGATAATCAGTATCACCCCCAGTCACCTAAGAGATTTCTCTCTCATCCTTTTTCTTATACTCCACACACACACACACACACACACACACACAGAGACACATCATCATCATCATCATCATCATCATCATCATTATCACCTCCTCCTCCTCCTCCTTCTTCTTCTTCATCCATCAGAGGCAGCTAAGTGGCACAGTATATAGAGTTCTGGCCTGGACTCAGGAAGGAAGACCTGAGTTCAAATCCAGAGTCATACACTTCCTAGCTGTGTGACTCTAGGCAAATCAGTTACCTCTGCCTGCCTCAGTTTCCTCATCTATAAAATGAGGATGATAATAGCAACCACCTCCCAGGATTGTTGTGAGGACCAAATGAGATAATATTTGTAAAGCTCTTGACACATAGTAGGTGCTATATAAATGTTAGCTATTACTATTATTAATCTCAAATTACTGATAACATACCTGAAGTCCAAAAATGCACAGTAAAGGAAAATCTGGTTGCTTTTATTTGTTACATCACTGTATTGCTCCCGACTCTGAAAGAAAAGGTAATAGGTTGTATTAACTGAAACAATCAGAAAAACAAGTAAACTGCTCAGGTGTATACACAAGAATACAACCACAAAACTATAGAATAGAAAGCTCATCATTAGGAGGGCTCAACCCATCAAATGCAACAAGCATCTATGAAGCATCTACAAAATTCTGGGCATCAAAATAGTCTCTGCCCTCAAGGAGCTTATAATCTACTGGGATCGAGAGGTGGTGGAATATAACTTCTAAAGTGGGAGGTATACGCATGGTCATTGGAGAAGGGACTGAGCCCTAACACCTGAGGACAAAAGGAAAGACTTCCTCTTGAGGGTAGCACACAAGTCAATAAACATTTATTAAGCATCAACTATGTCCAAAGTACCATGCTAAGTGCTAGGGAAACAAAAAGAAGCAAGACACTCCAGGCTCTCAAGGAACTCACAATCTAAAAGTTTCAGCGTGAGACTCAAAGTCTGTCCTATTCTGATACCATAAAGCAATCAGGTCTAAAATATATGGCCGACTGTTGCCTTATTTAAGTAGCAGCACAAAGATATAATGAGCACAGTTCCTGGGGCCTCCCGTTATCTGCATAGATAAGTTAGTAGAGGTGGTCAAGGGGGAGCCAGAGATGGGTTCTGTCAGATCTGAGGAGCTCCCAAGCTTGGGGCAATCAATCAATAAGCATTTATTAAATACCTATTATGTGCCAGGTCAGGGTGAAAGAGGAGAGTGTAAAGGCTTGAAGCTTAACATTAAGAAAAAGACTTTGATCTTGGCAACTGGTCCCATCGCTTCTGGCAAATAGTAGGAGAAGAAATGGAAGCAGTGTCAGATTTTATATTCTTGAGCTCAAAGATCATCGCAGATGCCGACTGCAGCCATGAAATTAAATGACGTTTGCTCCTTGAAAGGAAACCTATAGCAAATCTGGACGGCATATTAAAAGCAGAGCCATCACCTGGTCAACAAAAGTCTGGATAGTCAAAGCTATGGTTTTTCCAGTAGTAACGTATGACTGTGAAAGTTAGGCTATGAGGAAAGCTGAGTGCTGAGTTATGGCACCAAAGAAAACTTTTGAGAGTCCCTTGGACAGCAAGGAGATCAGCAAGGAGATCAAATTATTTCAAACTACTTATTGGAAAAATCCAAACTGAAGCTGAAATCCTTTGGCCAATGACAAGACAGGACTCCTTGGAAAAGACCCTGATGCTAGGAGAGACTGAAGGCAAAAGGAGGGGCCAGCAGAAGATAAGATGGATCGATAGCATCCTGGAAGCAATGAACATGAGTTTGGGACAAACTTCAGAAGATAGAGCAGGCTAGAAGGGCCTAGTGTGCTGTGGTCCACAGTTACGAAGAGTTGGACATGACTGAACTAATGAACAAAAAATATGTGCCAGGCACGGTGCTAAACACAGGGATACAAAAAGAGGCAAAAGACAATCCCTGCCCTCAAGGAGCTTACAATTTAATGGGAGAGACAACATACAAACGAATATAGACAAAGCAAAATATAGACAAGATAAATAGGAAATAATTGACAAAAGAAAGACACTAGAATTAAAAAGTAGTTGGAGAAGGTAGGATTTTAGATAGAATTTAAAGGAAGCCAAGGAAGTCAGTGCATGGAATTCTAGGCATGGGGGACAGCCAGTAAAAATGCTTAGACTTGAGAGATGAAGTATTGTGTTCATGAAACAGTTAGGAGGTCGGTGTCCTTGGACTGAAGAGTACATGTTGGGGAGTGAAATATAAGAAGATTGGAAAGGTAGAAGGGTTCTAGGTCATGAAGGGCTATGAAAGACAAACAGGATTTTGATCCTGGAGGCAATAGGGAACCACTGGAGTTTATTGAGTGGGGGTGGGAGATGGTTTGATATGATTGGTCCAGTGTTTTAGGAAAATTACTTTAGTGGCTGAATGGAGGGTGGATTGATGAGGGAGTAACCCACCAGCAAGCGACTGCAATAATCCAAGCATGAAGCGATGATGCTGGTCAGAGCAGAAAAGGGAGTGTATCGTAGAAATGTTACAAAGGCAAAATCAATAGGTCATGGAAATAGATTTGATATGGGGGAACAGAATGGTTCTACAATAATAGGGAACATTAGTTCAGTTTGGGGCATTCTGAGTTTAAGAAATCTATTGGACATCCAGTTCCAACTCCTAAGTGCTCTTTAAAGAGGCCTTTCTTCCCCTAATGCTACCCAGGTGAAGACTCATGCCTGCTCCCTGGATCAACCACCCGCAGGAAAATTCCTTCATCTGCTATTGACAATTGTGTCATTGTTTAAGCCAAATGCCAGACTATCACATGTGTGAGCTGATGCTCGAAGAAAGCTGGGAATTCAATGAGGCAATAGTAAAGAAGTAGATTTTAGGCATGGAGACAGGAAATGGAATGTCAAGTTTGGGGAACAGCCAATAGGCTGATCCAGAAAGTAGGGAAGATAAAAGGAAGTAATATGCAATAAACCTGGAAGGGGGAGCTTGAACCAAACTGGAATGGGATTAACATGTCAAGCCAAGTCTATTCCTTCATCGGTTTTCTGAGACCCAGATTGTTCATGACGTTTCATCAGAGGTTGAGAAATAGGGAGCTTCCTGAAGGTTTTTAAATAGGAGTGAGGAAAATAGATTAGGGGAATGGGATGAGAGTTAGGAAAAATAGGGAGTCCAATAAGGAGGCTTCTACAGTGTATTACAAGGAAGATATAATGAGGGCCTGAATGAGTGGTTGTGTGAACAGAGAGAGGGAATTAGATGCAAGAGATATCATGGACATAATACTAAGAAGATTTGCCTATTAACTGAACACAGTGGTGAAGGGCAGAGAAGATTTGAAGACGACTCAAGGTTTTTGAATTCAGAAGACTAAAAGAATAGCTGTTGCTCCACAAAAAGTTTGTAGAAGATTTAGGAAGTTTAGAGAATGGGTGACTTAGGGGTGGTGGGGAGATGTCTATGGGGCAACCAGTTGGAGATATCCAATAGGCAGCTGGTGATAGGGAATTAGGGCTTAGGAGAGAGACGCTAGAAGTCTCTCCTAGGAGAGTAGGAGTATCTCTTTTTGACTGTTGTCATGAGATCAGTAAAAAAATTGTTATGTTTGTATATATACATATATATGTATATGTGTGTGTGTGTGTGTGTGTGTGTGTGTGTAACTTATAAAACACTGCTATGCCTTGTCTTGTCACAAGCAAGACGATACGAAGACTAGAGTACTGAAGATTGGACAAAGGAAATGTTTAATGATGATATTACCACTTTTCATTCAAGACCATATTAAGGTCATTCTCAAAAGCAAGCTTGCTGAGCCTATAGGATCTCAACTTCTTCATCAGACCATACAACATCCACCCAAAAAATGTTTTGTGGGATATTTCACTTCCAATGAGCTTGAAAGTCTTAACTCCACCAAAAGGAATGCTGAACCCCAGTTAAATATACTGCCATAACAAGAAGTAAAATTGTTCCAAAATTACAGAAATTTTTAAATAGAGATGAAATACCACACCCAGCACTGCATCATGCCATTTCACAAAAGCTTAATAAAGTTGTGGTACATGAATGGGATAGAATAATATTGTGATATAAGAAATGATGAAGGCGACAGTTTCAGAGAAACCTGGGAAAATTTGTATGAACTGATGCAGAGGGAAATAGCAGAAACAGGAGAACAATCCTCATTCTGGATTTTGTGCTTCTATTGATGGACCCTAAGATCATCTTAGCTCTTGGGGGTTGCTTTCTTATACTAGTGACTCATATTGAACTTGCGATCCACTAAAACATATAATTATATATATATAACATATGTATTATAATATATTTATATATATATATATGTTTTCAACAATTGTCAAGTTATACCTCTCCCACTTAGTAATTATACAGTTAATATTTTGAACTCAAGTATAAGGCTTTGCATATTATGCCTATTAAATTTCATATCGTTAGCTCTTGTCCCTTGTTCTAACCCATCAAGATTCTTAGGCTCCTGGTTCTAGCTTCCAAAGCATTAGTCGTTCCTCCCAACAGATCATCAGCAAATTTGTAAAGCATGAAATGATTGCCACTTTTTTTAGGGAGTCAAATTATGGCCAAAATAAGAGACATACATATTACACATGGAATGGGAGGAAAAAACAGATATATTTTCTCTTTGTTGCCTGGCACATAGGAGGCACTTAATAAACAATTCTTGATTTATAGATAAGATTGGACTTCATTTAGAAGCCTGATTATGCTCATGGAAATCCATCCCCAGTTCCTAAATCCAAGGCAGCCATAGACTTCTTCTGGGACACTGTAGTAAAGGCCCAGAGTGCCCAAGACCAGCCTCAACTCATTAAAGACATTCATATTTAGGTCTGCTTCCATGTTAAAGTCATCCACTAATCGAGAAAGGCCTCAAACCTCTCATTAGCTTTTCACTACTCAGTTTTCCAACCTGCAAAATCTGTCAAAACTACAATATATAACTTCAGCCACCAGCATCAGATCTTTCCCACTTCAATTCTGGGTTGCCACATAAGGCCATCTATCAAACCCATTCCTTTCTACATGAAAGATGAAAAACACTAATGGTGCTCTACAGAATTAAAAAGGGTCAAATTTTTATAGGCCTTTTTCCTGTTTTCTACACCTTCGCACAACATGCCTGGATCGATTCCTTCACTAAATACTGCACAGACAGATATGCATATAAATTGATGCACACAGGAAATCATACCTATAAACCTTCAGCCAATTTCTGGAAGGAAAAGGGTTCATCTGTTATATCACCTTCTTGATAAAAATAGTCATTTTAAATGTCCCTCTGGGTATAATACATTTGTTTTGAGGTCTTTTGACAAAATGAGAAGTCAATTGCTTCATTAAGATAGGGAAGAAAGATCACAGAATCTCAGAGTTGGAAAGGACAAGAGACTATCAATTCCCACATAAAATCCTTGACAAATAATTATTTAGCCTTCAGTTAGAGACCACCAGT